GCGCGCGCCGGGGCCCCGCCCCTCCCCTCCCAGTCCCATCCCGGCGCGCCCGCTGCGCGGGCCTCCTTGTCAATGGGAGTGCAGGGCCCGGTCGCCTGCGCGGGCGTCAGGTGGGCTCCCCGGCTCGTGTCCCGTGCTGCCTCTCTCTCCGGCTTCTTCTCCATCTTGGCTCCAGCGGTTCGCATTCTTGGTTGCTTTCCTGCTGCTGGGGCCGTAGCAGCTGAGGCCGAGTGACCTCAGCCAACGCGAGGAGACAGTGGGTCTGAGGAAAGCTGCAGTCCCGATAATTCGCCTCTGAGGCGTGGGGGCAGATTTCGGATTTTTTGTTGCTTCCTGCGTCCCACAAACATTTATTGAGCACCTAGTATGGCTGTGAGGAGAGGGGAACACAACAGGATAAGACAAAGCGTGGGTCTGTTCTCTAGGCGCCTCTGCATCCCTTTGCCACCGCGGTCCCCACTCCAAGATTCCCGGCCGTAGGTGTCAGCGCAGCAGACAGTTCCCACCCTGGGAAGCTTTTGAGGGGAGGGCCAGGTTTTCTTGCGAGTGAGCTTCAAGCAAATGCTTATTCCTTCAACACAGAATTGAAGCGCTTTTGCTCATTGTGGATGCTTGAGCTTGGTTGTGGTCTTTGCCCTGAATTCTCTTGTCCTGCCCATTTCCCAAACACAAATTCATAAAATGGATTTTGAGTAGATTTTCTTCCTTTCCTCATCTTGTAAAACATTCCCCCCCCCCGTCTGTTTTTTCAAGTAAAGACCGCGAGTCAGCTACTCAGCTTACTGAGGAAACACGTACACATTTGCCAAACATCGGGCATGCTCTGGGTGGTCTCTGAGATTTTGAAGAAACTAGTTCTTACTGCACAAAAAGGTTTTACAATCAGTTCCACCAGACAGCCCCAAAGGCTCTCCCAGAGAAAAGAGCCAATAGGAAAGGTTGCTTGGGGACAGGAGAGGCAGGCGGCCAGTGCAAAACGTTGTTGTTTTTTTTCTTCTAACAGTTGGGCATTTCTGTGACTCTGAAAGGAAACTTGTTTGTTTCATTTCAACATTAGAAAAAAACACCCCTGTTTTGGAAATGTTACCCAGCATAAAAATACATTTGCAATGGGGAAAAAAAGGGCAGTTCGGGCCCACCCAGAAGAAAACATTTTTTCCCCTGAATTTTTTAATTTGTCATTTCCCAGTATGGGTTTACCTCATTCTACAAATAGCTATGTCAAAAGTGGTATGTAATGTAATTTGAATATTTAAATTTGAACCACATTCTACATATGCTAGGACATTGACAAAGGACTCTTATAAAGAATTGCTTTATAAAGTAAATAACTTCTTCCCTACCCCCCCTTCCCCCCCTTCCTGCACTCCAGTCACCTTGTGTGTGTGTGTGTTGAGGAGGGGCGCTTAGGGGATAAACCTGGTTTGCTTAAAATCAGGGTGCCACTAAAAACCAGCCTTGCAGATACAAAACAGAGCCGAGGTACCCAACATTCTATAGAATTGGTTATTTTCTTGTAGGTTTGCTTGGATGATTATGCAGATCTATCAGATATAGGGAAAAAATTTGGCAACCTCACCAAGATTCTGCAATCCCTGCCAGACTGCATCTGAAAGACTGAAGAGGTAAGAATACAATGATTCCTTTGCAGGTGGTGGGTTATATTTTACATTTTAATGCTTTCATATCAAGTAATTTTTAATTTAAGATCTTAGGCTCTTGGGGGATTGTGGCTTATATGGTTGAATCAAACTATCCTTGATTTTAGGTATATTTTTTCCTTCTTGGTATCATACTTAGTATGGTGGAGGCAAAAACCTGTGTTTTGCGTTTTTCTTTATTCACTCACTACTTATTAAGCACCTACCTACCATGTACGAGGTAATGTTCTAGGCAACATGGATGTTGTTTTTCAGGTTGGTCTACCCTGCTTTCTTTTTCTGGGTCACTTTGCATCTTTATAGCTGGGCTTCATAAAAGACTAATAATAATCCGCTTCGTCTGTATAGTGGTTTACAGCTTATAGAGCACTTTTATAAAAAGGATCTCATGTAATCCTCTCAGATAAACCTCAGTTATGCACTGTGATGTGGGGAACATCATAACTGAGTGGAAAGAGCCTAGACCATGAATCCAGATCAACCTGTGTACCCATTTTACAGCTGAAAAAAACTGAACATCTGAGGGACTGAATAACTTATTCAAGGTCACGCGGTCATTAAGTAATAATCCAGGGCTCTTTTGACAGGTTTCTGGACTATTTGAGAAATAACATGTTATATAAATATGTAAAGCAGGCTTCCTAGACTCACAGAAAGCTCACGACTGTAGAACCCTATTGTATGTTGTCCTCCCCAAAGTAAGTGGGGATGAGAACATCCAAGTACTCTGTGAGTTATTAGTAATTAGATAACACCGTGATATTTGTCCACAATTAATTCCTGTGGGAATGGGGAAATTACAGTCCTAACATCATGAATGATCAAATCCATTTTGGTTTTATTTTATATGATCTTCAGAATTGTATTTCTCTGATTATTGCTGTTGGCCAGAGAATAATGGTCATTTACCCCACCCTCAATAAACTGTCCCCCTTGCCACACACAAACACGGTTCAAAATATTTTTAATTAAAAAATAGGTAATTAGAATGCTTTATATGCTCTCTAAAAGGAACAAAAGCAACCTTCATTAAGTTGCTTTTTTTACTACACGTGGCTTCTAATTCAGGAGACAGTAATAAAAGCAAGATCCCCCAGCTCTGACTTACAGAATGTGGGCTGTGATTAGATGAACTGAATTTCTCTATTTGTTGCCTTTTGTTATTACTTTAATTAAATATGCATGTACTGACAACCTTCTGTGTTTAATATATTGATTTAGACTAAAGGGAGGTTTAGATATGAGCTTAGATTCTTGAAATCCCTGGAATGTTTTCCCATTCACATCAGAATCAGCTGGGTGCTTGTTAAAAATTCAGTTACCCTTTTCCTCCCAAGTCAGGCTCTTCTGCAGTCTGCATTGGTAGCCACTCCCCAGGTGATTTTTCAGTACACAAAGTGTTAGGGCTTATACGGAGTCTGTATGTACCAATTAATTCTGCTAGGAGCTTACTTTCTTAAAGTCCAAATAGCCCTCATGTTTCTGAATTCAACTTTTATTTATGTTTACTAGTTTTTTTTGTATTTCTGTCAAAGGAAAGAAATTATGAAAATGACTATTCTTTATGAACACTACTGTCCTGGGAAGAAAATAGGCTACAATGTGTGGTTCATGAGCCAAATGAAAGCAAACTAAATGTCAAGTGAATTAGGCGTTTTAGGGAGAATGGTATATCACTAGAGGTTTTAGGTTTTCTGCACTAAAGGTTTCTAATTATACAATTAATAGCTCACAATCTAACTTAGTGGTCAATATAATTTAGAAAACTGTCTGGGTAAGACTAAGAGATGACTTAGTGTTTTCTGATAATTATCTGGCATTAATGAGAGAAGATGCTGATCAAATATTTTTATGTCCCTAGAAGACAGGCCCCCTATTTAGCAAATATTCAGCACTTCTCTTACTGATATTGTTTTGTGTACATCTCTCAGACCAACTGAAGCAGTGGTTCTCAAATGTTATTGTGCGTAAGAATTACCTGGGATGCTTTTAAAAATGCAGGTTCCTGGGTCCCATGCCTGGAATTTCTGGATCAGAAAGTCTGAGGTGGGGCCTGGAAGTGTCCATTACCAAAATCAGATCTCCTCCCTCCTGTGATACCGATGCCCTCTGAGAAACACATCACTGGACTGTAAACTCCTTTGGGGCGAAGGCGTTGTCTTATCACTTTATATCCCAAAAGGTCAAGCATGGACCCCTGTCCTCAGGTCATCAGTTTTAATACTTGTTAATTAACTTCACTTCTTTATAGGCAAAGGCTAAACCAGATCACATATCAAAGTTCTTCCCAGATCTGAGGCTTTTTGATTTTTCTAATAGAAATTTTGTGACTTGATGATTCCAGAAAATGTTTAAGATTGGGTAAGTTCAAAAAGGTAATGGCTTGTTTTCAAGGAAGGTTCTGAAACATGAAACAGTACTGATTTTGAACAAACAAATGGGAGATTTATTGGCATTTAGCAGTGTGTGAGGAAAGGGTATGCCAAGTGTTTTTGAATTTCCCATCAGACAATTCTTTGCTAAATTTTGCATCTCATTTGTTATTTTGTAGAGTTCATGAAAAGAATTAGTTTCTTTATTTATAATTGTTAGGAATAAAAGATGCTACGGGAAGAAATAAATGTTTTGTGTACTTTTAAATGAAGGAGCTTGAATGAAGGAGCAGACTAAG